TTCTCAATCGGATTTAAGTCTGGTGACTGCGATGGCCACTCCAAAATGTTCCAGCCTTTCCTCTGCAACCATGCTCTAGTGGACTTGGAGGTATGCTTGGGATCATTGTCCTGTTGAAAGGTCCAACGTCTCCCAAGCCTCAGGTGTGTGACGGACTGCATCACGTTTCCATCCAATATCTCCTGGTACTGAAGAGAATTCATGGTACCTTGCACACGCTGAAGCTTCCCTGTACCTGCAGAAGCAAAACAGCCCCAAAGCATGATTGACCCTCCACCATGCTTCACAGTAGGCAAGGTGTTTCTTTTCATCATAGGCCTTGTTCTTCCTCCTCCAAACATAGCGTTGATCCATGGGCCCAAACAGTTCTAATTTTGTTTCATCAGTCCACAGAACACTATCCCACAACTTTTGTGGTTTGTCCACATGGCTTTTGGCATACTGCAGTCGACTCTTCTTATTCTTTGGAGACAGCAAGGGGGTACGCCTGGGAGTTCTGGCACGGAGGCCTTCATTACGCAGTGTGCGTCTTATTGTCTGGGCTGAAACTTCTGTACCCACATCTGACAAATCTTTTCTCAGTTCCTCAGCAGTCACACGGGGACTTCTCTCCACTCTACGCTTCAGGTAGCGCACAGCAGTCGAAGTCAGCATCTTCTTTCTGCCACGACCAGGTAGCGTTTCAACAGTGCCCTTTGCCTTGAATTTGCGAATGATGCTTCCTAAGGTGTCTCTTGGTATGTTTAACATCTTTGCAATCTTCTTATAGCCATTGCCCTTCCTGTGAAGAGAAATCACCTCTTCTCTTGTCTTCCTGGACCATTCTCTTGCCTTCACCATGTTTGTAACCACACCAGTAAATGTCTAGAAGGAGCTGAGTATCACAGTCATTTTAAAGCTGCCTAATTGGTGCTTAATTATGCTTGATTGCTGCTCGGTGACATCCACAGGTGTTTTCAATACCTGATGGAAAGCACCTGTATGAACCTCTGTTCTTCAGAGTGGTAGTCTTTAAGGGGTTGAATAATTGTGGCAATGAAGAAACCACATAAGAACCATTTACTACTGTATTACATAAACAATTGATGTCATTTTAGTTGCATTTGGGTAGTTACAACGTCCTTGTAGGATTTGATTCTGAATACAATTCCAAATGTACACTATAGTCCCTAAACCCCTTTACAGCATTGGGGGTTGAATAATTTTGGCCACAACTGTACATTATTCCCTCCTTTGATCCTTATCAATCATACATCTTACTCCTAGCACACAATGTGCACTGGAGGGCTGATTCTTTACTTTCAGTGTTCTTAACTTCTTATCACACATTAGTTCTCCACAATTACAAGCAGATAAGGGACATGTAGTCTAGCTGATCCACACATCACCATTAGAGAGACTGCAGAGAATGTCAAGGTTCTCTACATTCTTATTCTGACCACCTGCCAATCACTAGACCCATCTCCCTTTATCATTCACTGGTTGCGAAACCCAGTAGCATGACACTCAGAGGTGGTGAGCCCCGTGACACCTTCTTTTACTTGTCTCTCACAGGCATGGCTGTCCACCTTCTGCGTCCTTTTGCTGCTCGGCTCTTCCCCAATGGATGTTACAAAAGCTTCCTTACTAAGTGGACAACATCCCATCCCTGTCCTCTACCGGGACATATAGGTAGGCTAGACCCACCTGTATGTCGGAGGAATGTCTCCAACCGGGGCAGGTAGACAAGAGGATGTTGTCCTTATGCAATCACACCAGCAAGCACACACCTTTATTTGCATTTTCACTTCTTAGCAATTCGCAACACTTTCACACGCTAGCTAATAAAATCACTTCAACTCTTATTTATATATGAATGCCGACAATTAAAATGTTTTTTTCAATTCATTGTTGCATCCGGGGCCTTGGATTAGGGTTTTGACTCCGTCCACCGCTAGTTGCTGGTAGGTCAATTAATGCAGGTTTAGTGCATTCTGTTTCCGGACACATCTGGTGAGGAACTGTGATTGGAGGGCCTTGGGTACTGTCAACCTTTCCATTTCATCATTAGGTTCAGGCTTGATTCCTTTATCGCTAATTTCAGGGGATGCTGGTGTCAATACAGGTAGTTCAAGGAGTGCACCGAATGTTAGATCAGGGCCTGGCTCCTAGACAGGTGACAACATAGGCATCTTAGTTTCTTCTATGCCACTGTCCATTGTTCCTTTGAATGGGAACAACAAACATGTCTGAGTTTTTCCTAAATTTCAATCGCTATATACTTAGCTTTTAACAAGCAAGCTTACCATCACTTCCACTATTATCCCTCCTATTGTTAATAATCCTATTAAAAATGTTTTGAACATTGTACCAATCCCCTTGAACCAATTTGATGGGTTCAACCATGATGTCCATGACAACACTCCTCCACCCCACTCAGATAAATCTAAGTTATGATTTAGGATATCATGGACATCACCCTGTAATTCCTCTGCTGCAGCCAAGTGGGCATTTATATCATAACTTTTGTCAACCATATAGGTACAGCACTCTTGTTTTATTGCTACACATAATCCTCCTTGAGATGCAAATAAAATGTCTAGACCCATATGGTTGGCAATTACCTGTCTTCTCATTTCTATCAATTCATCTGCTTCATCCTTTAGTGCTGCTAAGACATGACCCAGCATTATATTTGTTACATTTGCATAACCATTTATTCTGGTTGCCATCTCCTGTCCCCACCCTGTCCAGGATGGAGCATAGGTCCATGCCTTAAATGCATCCCCAAATACTGATATGTTATATTTTTGTGCAGTTAGTCATAGCATCTGAAGCAGCCTCTATTGAATAGACCTTACTTTCTGTAGATCTTGTCCTTTTTGTTCCTTTAACAAATCAGACATATTCACTGGTCTTGAGGCATAAATAAGTTCTGCTATGATACAGGTACCATTGGCTTTCAGGGGCAAACTTTTCCTTGCTTTCTTTCCACACACAAAATAAAATGGGTTAGGTAGGACTCTTGCCCCAACATTTCTTAATTCGGAAATCACTAATTCCTTTAGAGATCTATTATATTTATTCACATCACTATCAATATGTGTCATTACACTCGTCTGGTAAATCCAAAGCCTTTTAATAATTGCTTCAAGGTTTTATTAAAACAGTTGGAGCAATCATCTTTGCACCGACACATTAAATATATTATAACACCCGTTTAATACAACTTGGATCTCACCTGGCTCCTGGTAATAATCTGTGATACCTACCTTAGTTGTCCCATTTAAGGCGATACCTATCCCTTTTCCTGATATACCCTGGATTAACAGGTCTTCTACCTTGACTGCCTTCCCTTGCTGCACATTTAATATACTATTTTTAGACAAATTTACTACTAAAGCATGATATAAATCAGGACTTGTCAACGCCATAGCAATTATGGGCTTATGACACACACTAGGGGGAATCATAGTACATATCCAACAATCTGAGAGATTAAATTGGTTAGAGATCACCTCCTGCATTTGAATCATCCTATTCAGAAAGGTTTGGATTTCCACATTCATCAAGCCTAGGACTCTTTTCATCAGGACACCCTGCCGTGCTCTCATCTTCCTCTTCCACAGATGACTTTATATTGAAACTGAAAGGGACACAATTAATGTTTTTCTTAAGCACCGCTTGCCAAGATCAGGGGCCCCCTCCGAGGCCTCATCCCTTAAACTAGCCTGGTTGCTCAGGTACCACGGCCTTATGCACGTGTTTGCAATGTGATGCATGCACCCAAGCCTCCTTGCCCTCAAGCGTTACAGCTGTTGGGGTCACCAGTACCACTTGATGGGGTCCTGTCCACCTGGGCTCAAGACCTCTCCTCTGGTGCTTCTTAAGCATCACCCAGTCGCCTGGTTGAGACTTATGTGTTCCTTCAAGATCATCTGGATCTGGAAGTGAGACATAGATTTTATTATGCAACTGATTAAGGTGTTTCTGTAATCCTATTACATACTCAGTGAGTGTACCATAGGATTTGGTTGATGCCTGTGGATAGTACAAACCTGTTTTTGGCAAAAAGTATCTGATAAGGAGATAACTTTTCTTTCTGTTTAGGAGTGGTTCTTAAAGAGAACAGTGCAATTGGTAATCCTTGTAACCAATTCAATCCTCTCTCAGCTTTAATTTTTCCCAGCTTTGCTTTTAACAACCTGTGACGGAAGGTAGGCAGGACAGAACACACAGAATAGATGGCAAATGCACAAAGCTTTATTGAGGCAAACAGGTGACAGTCACTGAATAGGGAAGTTCGCAGGGAGGGTGAATACGCCAGTAAAGGGCGACAAGGAGGGACCAACACACTTAAAGTCCAACACCGAGAGCCAAGGAAGAGTCCCTGTAGCAATTGAAATCCAACAGGGGGCTGGTGTGAGTCTCTGTAGCAATTGTAATCCAACAGGGGGGTGGTGTGGGGTCTGCACAGGAACAGCTCAAGTGAAGCAGGGAGAGAGCATGTACTCACGGATCTCTGATGGCTAGCAGGCAGTCTTCCCCTGCTCTGAGGGGGGGGGGGGGGGGTCTTAGGCAGGCTTGGGTCTCTGCAGAGCCTGGCCAAGAAGGTCCCGGCCGCAGCTCGGGCTCCTTCCTTAGCTACACAGCAGTGAGTTCCCCGGGAGCGCTGGCATCAGTCTCTTAAACTGATGTCGGATGCCCCCTAGTCGCCTAGGCAACCGGGGCAGGCCGGAGTGGGCGTGGCTCCAGCCTGTATTAGGAATGCCTTTAATCTCTGCAGGAGGTGAGAGGGGCACAGATGAGAGACCACAGAGAGAGCAGGGACAGAGCAAGGGGGCTGAGAGGGGGGAGCAGCTGTAACACAACCCATTATATTTTTCTACTTTCCACTTGCAGCGGGGTTGTATGGTGTATGCAAGCGTTGTTCAATGTTAAAAGCTGTCAGTATTTCCTTCATTACTTTACCTGTGAAGTGTTTACCTCTCTCACTCTCTATTGTCTCTGGAATTCCATACCTGCATACTACTTCCTGCCAGGGGCGGACTGACAACTCATGGGGCCCCTGGGCAATAGGGGATCATGGGGCCCCTGTGTCCTTGCCCAAACTAAAAAAAGCCTATGAAAAAGGTACCAAGGGCATCTCATGGGGCCCCCTACTGACCCCGGGCCCTCGGTCAATGCCCGAGTTTCCAAATGGTCAGTCCGCCCCTGCTTCCTGCATTAGTTTCTTGGCTATTGCTGTAGCTTTTCCTTCTGGGAAAGCTTCCAAAACATCTACGACTGTTAAACAAAAATCATACATTCCTACCTTTGGCAGCTGTATGTAATCTATCTGTAACCTCTGAAACAGGTATGAGGGTCTTGGGATATGACCAGACGGTGTTTATACCTTTTTCCCTGGGTTGAACTGTGCACAAATCAAACATGCCTGACAAAATTGTTTTGCCATTGTCTCAATACATCAATTGCATCCACCATCCTTCCTTTGGCAACCTAAACACTTGTACAAGCATCAGGCAATTTTTCTGCAAAAATGCTGCTGCCAGGAGGAAGGCTTCTATGAGAGTTTTTTTTAATGTCCTGGTAAAAAAATAAAAATGGCTTTTGAAACAGCATTAACAAATGAAGGTTCTATGCACACACTAGTGTTTTTTTAAGCTCCTAGAAGCTAATATAAGCATATTTTTTCTGCTCATAGAAGCTAAATCGTGTTATCCTATGTATCACACTACTTTGGGCTATTAGCATTTTTTAAGCTTCAGCGTCTAGGAGCAGAAAAAAAAATAGCTTTTGTAAAGTTTTCTGGAGAGTTTTTCCAGCAGTAAAAACACTAAATGCTCCTAAATGATGCTAAACGCTACTAAAACGCTCCTAACAGCTTTTATTTCTAGCTTTGTTTTCCTTTACATGTACTGTAAAAATGCTAATAAAATGCTAACACTTCTAAATGCTACTAAAACACTACTAAAAATGCTATTATCAGCGTTTTTCCAGCAGTTTTTGAGCTTAATAAAAATCGCTAGTGTACATGGAGCTTAAAGTTTATACAGTGTGAGATTTTGATTATTGGTTTTACAAAAACTTTATTTGTCCTAGAATGGCAACATGTAGCTAATTTTAGCTTTGTGGGGTTGTAATAAAGTTGGCACACAAATAAGTTGGCACACACAAATATCCTAACCCCCACTGAAATTGAGTGTTTTGGCCAGTTTGACATTGCTTTTGATCATTCAGTCATCTTGCTTACATTTACATTAAAGAGGCACTTGTAGGTCAGACAAATATAACATAACAGTTATAATGAAATAACCACAAATGTCTTTTCTGTGCTCACAGCATTATCAGTTTTATTCAACCCCCAAGTGACATTCAATCTTAGTACTTAGTACAGCATCCTTTTACAGTTATAACAGCTTTTAAACGTGAAGCATAGCTTGACACAAGTGTCTTGCAGCGATCTACGGGTATCTTCGCCCATTCTTCATGGGCAAAGGCCTCCAGTTCAGTCACATTCTTAGGCTTCTGAGCTGTTCTCAATCGCAAACTGCGATGGTCCAAAATGTTATGCAACCATTGGACATGCTTGGGATCATTGAAAGGTCCAACGTCCCAAGACATGACGGACTGCATCACGTTTCCATCCAATATTCCCTGAAGAGAATTCATGGACTTGCACACGCTGAAGCTTCCCTGTACCTGCAGAAGCAAAACAGCCCCAAAGCATTGATCCACCATGCTTCACAGTAGGCAAGGTGTTCTTTTCATCATAGGCCTTGTTCTTCCTCCTCCAAACAGCGTTGATCCATGGGCCCAAACAGTTTAAGGTTTCATCAGTCCACAGAACACTATCCCACAACTTTTGTGGTTGTCCACATGGCTTTTCTACTGCAGTCGACTCTTCTTATTCTTGGAGACAGCAAGGGGGTACGCCTGGGAGTTCTGGCACGGAGGCCTTCATTACGCAGTGTGCGTCTTATATGTCTGGGCTGAAACTTCTGTACCCACATCTGACAAATCTTTTCTCAGTTCCTCAGCTCACACGGGGACTTCTCTTCTACGCTTCAGGTTTTTCAGCATCTTCTTTCTGCCACGACCAGGTAGAGTGCCCTTGCCTTGATTTGGAATGATGCTTCCTAAGGTGTCTCTTGGTTCCCTCTTTGCCTTCTTATAGCCATTGCCCTTCCGAGAAATCACCTCTTCTCTTGTCCCTTTCTTTGCCTTCACCATGTTTGTCATCTTCTTGTTCACAGTCATTTTTGTCCTTATTATGCTGATTGCTGCTCGGTTTCGTGTGTTTTCAATTGATGGAAAGCACCTGTATGGTCTTCAGAGTGGTAGCTTGAATATTGTGGCAATGAAGCTAAGGTATTACAAAAATTGATGTCATTTTAACAGGTAATCTCTTGTAGGATTTTCAATTTGAACTAGTTACAGATTTTGGCCACAATAGCAGGAACTAGGCCACTTTCACATGGGCAATGCTGCTGATGATCCCCGCTGTGGATTTCTTTCTCAGCAGTGGATGACACATTTTGCAATCAGGCTCCATGCAAATAGGCCACTTTCACATGGGCAATGCTGCTGATGATCCGCTGTGGAATCTGGAGAAGATATGCATGCCTGTTTGAAGAGGGATTTCACACTGAAATTCACTTCTATGGGGCATGTTGGCAGGCAGTATTGACTGTCAAACACAACACATCCAACTTTTTTCCCTGTGCCTTGATGTGAAGTCTTGTGATCACAACAATGTGTATGGGGCCATCTGGTGGCCATTTCTGGGTTTTGAGCAGGAGGCAAAGTTACAGAGCACCTAAGGGTACATGCATCTTAAATAAACGCCAGTGCCCTTGACAGGAAAAAACACAAATTTTGAGCATTTATTCTACTAGCGTTAAGCCATGTGTTTATGCATTTAGGAGAGTTTAGACACATTCAGCATTTTTTCTGCCAGAAAAATGGTCTCAAAAACACAAACCAGAAGGGTTTTTTTCTGTCTGCCTTTAAACGCTGAGCTTAAAATACGCCTCTAAACATCCTAATGTGCATGGACACATAGGATCACATTAGCTGCTTCTAAAGGCAGTGTGAATGGACCCTAAAAGATGCCCCATTCAACTGGTTTTAGAATATGACAATGCCCATGTAAAAAAGGACTTGGAGTGACATTCTTTCAGTACCATTCCCTAAGACATTTAAAGTTGAACTGTGGAAAAAAAAGTACCCATGCAGTGGGGCTCCACCTGTGCTGCAAGTGTTAAATGCATATTTTTGTCTATGATACAAAAAAAAACAATTTTTGCTTATAGTATACTTTCCTCTTGCAGCCTCCTCCTTGCATGCGATCTGCCCATGCAGCCTCTTCTCTTCAGTTGTAATGTCAACACATACAACACAGGACCATCAGTCCGCCATGGCAAGTGAAGACACCAATAGCTGTACACAAGCAAAAGCTTTAGCTTTAAAGTTCAACTATATACAAAACTAGAAAAGCTACAATTTCTGGGGAAATTGTGTGAAATGTTCTTGCCTCCACCAGTAGTCTACAATATCAATGGGCGGCGTGAGTTGCAAACAAATGGTCATATTTTTAGTGGCAGCAGGGATAGCTGAACGTTTTGATATAAGATTTGTGTAGGTGGGCTTGAAAATGAGGGAGTGATGGCAGTTTAGAAATCAGGTCCTGATTTTTCAGCTCACACTCTAGCTTTTGTCAGCTCCCACTCTAGTTTTGAACATTCCGCCATTCATTCCTATGGGACCAATTTCACCACAAAAATCGCCGATATTTCGTGAACCATTTGGCGAAACGTTCCAAAAAGTAATAGCACACCAATCGGGAACAATCCGCACATTTCGGTATATTACTGTCTATGTAGTGTAAATACTGTGGGAGGAGTTAGGGTGGTAAATTTGGCTATAATAATAAGAGTATATATGTGAGATAACAGTAAGTGGTCTGCCATGCAAGAACATTTAATGAAAAAGAAGCTTTAAAGTTCAACTACACTGCTTAAAAAATTAAAGGAACACTTTGAAAACACATCAGATCTCAATGGGGAAAAATATCATGCTGGAAATCTATACTGATATGGACTGGGTAATGTGTTAGGAACATAAGGATGCCCCATCGTTTAATTTAAATGAAAATTATCAACCCACAGAGGAATGAATTCAAAGACACTCTGAAAACCAAAGTGAAAAAATGATGCAGCAGATTAGTCCAGTTTGCTGAAATTTCATTGCAGAAAGTCAAAATGGTACTCAGTAGTATGTATGGCCCCCACATGCTTGTATGCATGCCTAACAACGTCGGGGCATGCTCCTAATGAGACGATGGAGGGTGTCCTGGGGTATTTCCACCCAGATCTGGACCAGGGCATCACTGAGCTCCTGGACAGTCTGAGGTTCAACCTGGCACCACCGGATGGACCGAAACATGATATCCCAGAGGTGTTCTATTGGATTTAGGTCAGGCAAGTGTAGGGGCCATTCAATGGTATCAATTCCTTCAGCCTGCAGGATGTGCCTGCATACTCTCTCCACATGAGGCCACATGTGCTGAAGGTGAACCTGCACTGTGAAAAGCAATTGGGGCACCAGGGGCGGACATGCCAATTCTGGTGTTCAATGGCAAATGCCAGTCGAGCTCTATGGTGTCGGGCAGTGAGCACAGGACCTACTAGAGGCTGTTGGGCCCTCAGGCCACCCTCATGAAGTCTGTTTCTGATTGTTTGGTCAGAGGCGTTCACATTAGTGGCCTGCTGGAGGTAATTTTGTAGGGCTCTGGCAGTGCTCATCCTGTTCCTCCTTGCACAAAGAAGCAGATACCAGTCCTGCTGATGGGTTAAGGACCTTCTACAGCCCTGCCCAGCTCTCCTATAGTAACTGCCTGTCTCCTGTACTCTCCTCCATGCTCTTGAGACTGTGCTGGGAGGCACAGCAAACCTTCTGGCAATGGTACGTATTGATATGCCATCTTGGAGGAGTTGGACTGCCTGTGCAATCTCTGTAGGGTCCAGGTATCGTCTCATTCTACCAGTAGTGACACTGACCCTAGTCAAATGCAAAACTAGTGAAAAACAGTCAGAAAAGATAAGTAAGGAAAACCATTCCTGTTTTGGGGGTCATCTCATTGTTTCCCATCTAGTGCACCTGTTGTTAATTTCATTAACACCAAAGCAGCTGAAACTGATTAAAAACTCCCTCTGCTA